ACTGCAGTCTTCATGAGAATGCAAGTTAGTTGTTGTGTACTTAAGCCGAGGGTTTGAATGTTTTAGAGTTTGAGCTTCTGGCAGCCTCACATTGCAGTTTGGTGCAGTTGTCAGCTCTGCCAAATTTATTTCAGCATTAGCATCTCGCTAGCCGACGTTTCAAATAGGCGCCGTTAATTATCTTAAGAGTCTGTGAGTTATGTTACCTACATTCTAATTTACCTTAATTTAATTACCCTCTAGTAGCGTAGGTTCATCTATAAGTAGTGCTTTCTGTTTATGTAAGGAGTTAAATAAAAAAATCATTTCAACCTTCTTTCCACTTGGTCATTTTTCAGACTAAGCTAACTCACTTCCCAGTATAGTAGGGTCTGCAGAACATTGAAATAAGCTTCTAGACATAACGGAGTCCTACAAATTTTCTGAGATTTGTTATTGTGTTGTAGTTTTAAAGACTCTGAATTTATGTGTGAACTAATTTAGTACATGTCATGTCTTTTTTTTTGGGGGGGGGGAATTACCCAATTTTAAATGAGTAGCATCATGTACCTTTCTGTGATTATTTTTTCCCCTACCATCTTTTTATAAGGCTATAGGAACCTCATATTAATACGACCTGTCGTTCGTGCAATATAGATTATAATAATGTTATCACCACTTTCTGTGCATCATTCCGAGTAAATGATATTCGTTTTAAATTGCTACGTACCATACAGTTTCACTTCCGAATTCCTTTACAACTAATGTTGATCGCATGTTGCCATCGATTAGCATTAATAGCAATAGAATATTCTAGTAGCCTAAAGGAAGTGGAGTATCCATCTAGGCTACTACAATATTCAGGAATCACCCTGGGCGATGATTCTTGATGTTTCGTCCAGCTGTTGACCGTAAGATTCACGTTTGGAGGCAAAGCAGGCAATAGTGGAACAAGTCATCAATAAACTTTACTGAGGTCTGTGATGTAGGTTTTGGTTCTTTACAACTAATCATTTCTGATGATTCTTTAGAACTAGTATGATAGTTCGAAATTTTCCTCTTCTAATTAATTTCGCATTGAAAGTAAAACACTATGGATCTCTCTTGTGGCAGTTTGTAAGACAATTTTATTTCGTAATTCTAATTACTGAAAATTACTAAATTCTGATTTCTAAAACTGTTACTGATTGCAGATTTTGAAAAGTAACATTCTTGAGATATGAAAGCTGAATTAATTCAGAATTTGCCGTCTTTGTCTTTTCTCACTTTTTAAATAGTTTAATATTCTTTTCTATCATCTGTTCATTCCTTCTCCCTAATAATTTTCCTACAAGATTGCTCTACAGATACTATACCGAATTTATGGCGAGTGGAGAAATGTGTATGCACAGAAAAATTTACTCTTGAGGTAAAAGACAGAGCATTTGTCTCTTTCTTAGCTTACATTCCAATCTTGACCGAAAACTTTGTAAAAGAATCCTTGATCTTCATACTCATCGTCCTGACCATTAGCCTTTCGAAAGAACATTGATGTTGATAGATTTTGTGTTTCCTTATTCATAAAGCTCAATTGCGAATGTCCATATTTTACTTGGGACTAGAAACCAACAATTTGACAGGCAGCCTATGCTGACTTCTATTGTCTTTGAGATGGTTGTTTTTGATTGAAATGCGATTGAATGATGCCAGACATTTATTGCCATGTTATTTGTTTTGAATCGCCGTCAGTGAAGGGGGAGAGGACAGGAAAATGACGTCGAGAATCACCTTACTCGTACGCACACTTGGCGCGTACAAAGTTTTAAAATCTGCAAACTATGATGGACAGCCTTTATGACAATGGCATCTCAGCTTGCATTTTTAAAAATAAAATATCATCTATTTATATAAAACATTTTCTGTGCAGTTTAATCGCTTGCTTTCATCCAGCAACAACTCTCATGGATTCGGAAGCTTAGCAAAGAAAGCAGTGATTTGATCGAGGAGGCGGACATTAATCCCGAATTGTGCAAATAACTTGTGATTGAAGAAGAAACTTAATGCTTTTCTTATGATCTTGAAACAAAAGAGCTTGATTTGAACAAGGTTCACCTTGGTCATGAAAATTTCAGTTTGAAAAAACTCGAGTGATAAGGAATTGACGTTGAAGCCATATTTTATGCTTAAACGTACACGTTTGATGCCGTAGTGGATAGACTTCTGAAAAACATTCAGTGCGTTAGACCTGAAAAAGCTGAATAACGTGAGTTTTTCCCTTCCGTAGGACCATGCTTCGTCTCACAGTTCTCCCCCCCCCCCATTCACCAGATTTGCACCTGCTGGCTACTTTCTCTTCTCTGAAATAAAGTCTAACTTAAAAGGTTATTCTTTTACATCTTTAAAACGCTATTCTTGTTATATCACTGAAGAGCTTTAGAAAACCGTAATCAAAGACTTTAATAGTATTTAAAGAGGAATTCTAGGCGGGAATCAAGCAGTTGTGTAAACGTGTCAAACATTGTATAAGCTTACGTTCTTTCAACTTTCGATTTTGTACAGATTTAATCCTAAAACTTTGTATGCGAAGTGTGTGTAAACGGAGGTAGAATGATTTTTCTTTTACCTTTCGCCGAGTGTGATAAGTAAAAGCAAAATTACTCTACTTCCTACTACTTTTGTTTACTGTTTTTATTTTAATGAATGCGTCTTTCACCCTCCTTCATCATTTCAGATAGTAATGTTTTAGTTCTCTGTTTAAGTATGAATAATCATTTTAAAATATTGCGTTATTTTCAGGCCTGTTTAAAGTAGTGTACTATTCTTTGTTATTAAATGAAATTGCCTTAGAAACTGCTTCCAGAGAGATCCATAGTGTTTTACTTTCAGTGCGAGTGGCTTGAAAAATTCCGATCTCATATACTCTATTTTTGTCTGGTTCGAGATTAGTATTCACAGTCAGATTGCTCTCGTTTTATGCCCTATATGCACCTTCAGAAAGTGGTTATTTTATTACATTATTATTCTTTAATGTAATAAAATGGGGACAATGTAAGAAAGGAATGGTACTCTGGAAATGAGCTTATTTATTCGTCTGGGTGTATTATTTTTCTAAATTTGCTGGATGTAGAACGAAAACAGTCACGCGAGTCTAATCCATTAATGTCAGAGGTCGGTAGCTATCTGACTATTATTTTTATACAGAAGATTACAGAATTAAACGAGTGCAGCACGGAACCTTTTAGCACGTGCGGTATTTAAAGATTGACTATTTATAGAATATAATCTATTTTTCAGTAAATATTGTGAAATATGGTATTCATTTATACTTTGAACCAGTGATGGCCGAAAGGTGAGCCTCAGACCATATCTAGTTATCTAATTTACTTTTCTGGGCTGCGTATTATTCTTTTATTCAATTAATTTCACAGTTCAAATTATTAAACTATTAATTTTCAGTTTCAAACTTGATTGTATCTGCAAAATGCTCACTACATTGGGTTAGACTTTGCATGTCCCCAAGCTACGTTATTAACGTTGTTTTCTTCATGTTCAAAACTGATTATCTTAAGGGTACAAGCATCATTATGCCGAAAAACCCGTATAAGGATTTCTGTCTTGGAGAGTAGAGGCCGACTTGCAAAAAAATGCCGCGCGTTTATGAAGGCATCCAGAAGAAACTCCTCCGAAGGATGACTTTGGAAATCCTGTACGTGTGTACAAGATTTCCAGCTGTACTTTTCGTGTGGACGATTGATTGCTTCATTCTGTTGAAACCTCACTTTATGGTGATGAAGACTTTTAGCGTTATGAAGGAACGTTTCGAACTTGTACCTCTAAGCATTAAGCGTATCTGCTTCTCTTATGCCATTTTCGAAAAAATGCGGCTGTCGATACCTTACTATTATCATAGAATCGGACGACAGCGTTGATGTATTTATGTGGCTTCAACAGAGTCAAGTTTTGGTAATTCAAATTACTGCATAAATAAATCTACCACGGTAATGCGGCTTAGGTAGACCGTCTATGCTCCAACTCAATTAAATTCTCGATTATACAGGCCATAATCACTTCGCTATAGTAGTGGCATGTTACTGCCATTGGATCTATTCCTATTTTAAAATAGTTCGTTGTTTTTGATGCAGGTTGTATAAAACCAGTGTCAGTATGAGATTGGATTTTTACTTATTTAATATTTTAAAATTCAAATCAATATTCGTTAATTCAATATAATATTACAAATTACTAGCAAATATTGCGTCAGTGAAATATAATTATTGATTTTTTTACTGGTTCATGTAAATAAATAAAGGATAATGATAAACTTTTGGAAATATGCAAGAAAAATAATGTGATTTCCAGTTTGAGGCAATTTTAACAATTTAATAATTTATAGCATTTTTTTATATATTGTAAGAAATTTAGTGTTTTTAAGTGTGGAAAGTGTGTTTTCGGGGAGGAGGGAAGATTTTTTTTAATCCTTGAGCTGCTAAATGATGGAAACTTTTTATTATTCAAATTCACTGTAGTTTGAAGAGAGAAGAGAAAAACGCCAAAGTAAAAACATAAAATTAGGCAAAGCAACAACCTTTTCTATGGCGTAGATTTTAGTTACTTAGTTATGTTAGTTTAGTTTAGTTAAGTCTTAGCTAAAACTACGACAAACACAAGGTTAGCTTACCTAATTTTAATTAGCTTTACTTAATTTTATATTTTCACTGTAATTTATTTATTTCATTTTTTTAATAGCTAATAATCGCTTGTTTTCCGCTTACAAAAATTTTTTAACAAAATTATTTTAAAATGTGTTCTATTTGTATTTGTATTTTTTTTTTTTTTTTTTTTTTTTTTTTTTTAAATACAGAACAGTTTTATGTTAAATTTTGATTCCGGATTTGTAGAGTTTTCATTTTGATTTTTCTTCATTGTTATATTTTTAATGTTTTCACAATAAAATTACAATCTACGTATGTAGACGTTTTGTAAATAAGTGCAAATGTAATATTACGGATGCCATCATACTAATTTATTTGTTTATTTTTTAGATAGTGTGTGTAGTCAGCTATATATGGAACCATCAAAAGACACGCATGGTTATTTCACAGGTGACAATTTTTTCATAACGTGTTTCACTACAGCAGACAGTACGTTGTCGTGGTCTGACGGCGACGGGAATCGTATAGAAGCAACAGAAGGAAGGTGAGTTATGTTTATTCAGAATTTATACAAAGCTTTCTAAAATGAATGTTAATATTCCAAAGAATGTGTAAATGATTGACAGTTTGAACTTTATTGTAGCATTTTAAGATGTTATTTCTTTTCCTGTTTGCCAGTGCCCCATTAAAACATTCTAGATCGTAATCAAAGTGTTCGTATAGAGTTCGTTTGTGATTGGGAGAAACGTCATTCATTCGCTCATGAATTGATCTTGAACATTAAAAATAGCATTAAATAACATTAAAAATAGTGAATACAATGTGCCTATAACGACTGTGTTTACAGACTAAAAGTATCCGGTGTAGCGAACTGTGTCTCACCTTATGAATTTTTCAAGAACGTAATCATACATTATTAACACATTAAAAGCGGAACTAAATTAATTTCAGTTCTGTTTAAGCCACACGCAAAATGAGTAAAAAATGTGCATAAACAAAGGCAATAATTAAAAGAGCAGGCAAATACACATACTTTCCCTAATGTTATATAACCGCTGAAAGTTTTCTAACTCCATTTGAACAGGAATATAAGGCAATCAGTTGTAAGTTCTTTCTTGTGAGATGGAAGAAAATACAAAGGATCCATGCCTGTTGCGACCATCAAAGACTTCCTAATTAAATGGAAAAAGATCTAGGACTCATCCAAACGGTGTATCCTTTTCAAGCTGAGGTAAAGGAAGTGGCAGCTCTTTTAAAGCCATTGTGAATGAAGAAGAGGGAGAAATTAACGACTTTAAGTATCTTCTTAAGCTGAGAGCTTCTAAAAAACCGAAAGCAACCTGATTGATAAAAAAAAACCTTTCTGTTTTTGTCATTAAATGGAATACTGCGAATATATTTTATTAAATTCAACTAAAAAAATGCAAGACATTGTACATAAATGTGCGGAAATAAGTAACAAATAAGTAAATTCATAGCATTTTCAAATATGTTTCTGGTTTTTAATATTTTTTAACGCTTTCACAACGTTTTGCACTTCCAAATATTTGAGAGTTTATGTGCAATAATAGTATTTAAATGATGGTATTGAGTGCAATATTAAGCAAAATTTTTTATTTATTTATTTATTTATTTATTTATTTTTGTATTGATGAATTCTGTGTGAAGTGGTAAGTGTAACTTGTTAAAAATTTATTTTTTTTTATTTTTTATTTTTTTCTCCCCGGGGAGGGTAGTGTTCTTAAATTTATAGTTTATTTTGGTATGTTTTACCAGATTTGCAATATTAATTTAATAGTAATTACAAGGATGTTAAAAAATAATTACTCAGAAATGTTGGATGTGTAAAAACAATAGTACAAATTTTGTTGAATATATTTTTTTGATTTTTTTTCAACTAATGGATATATATATAATTTGCATTAATAGTTAAATAAATAAGTTTTTCTAGATCATTCAATGGTTAAATTTATTTTGTGTGTTCATGATTTTTACCAGTCTTTACTCAAATGAATTTTAAGGGTTAATCCGGAATAAACACAACGCAAAATTTTCAACTTTATTGTTACTAGTATTTTTCTGTGGTAAGAGTATTCTGGTGTTATGGTAAATTAGTAGGGTACCCTTTTTGGTAACTTAGGAAAATTAGAAGGTAAAAATTAAAAAAAAAACAACAACATAACAGTTTGTATCTACAATAATTTGTGGGAAATAGCGTCCCAACGATTTCCAGGATAATAATTTGGGAGTAGATTGCGTTCATTATGCGACATGGCGCAGTATGTATAAATGCTATTCAGTGTACAAATTTTAATTTTTTTTTTGTGTCCGAAATTGCGGTTACTTTCTAATAAATGTTAAAATATTTCGGTTTTTTAACAAGTAACATTTTGCTCTTCAGAGGAAAATTTTTTATAATCGAGATTTTTGTGGTGCGAGCTGACTGCATTAAAAATTAGATTTGAATTCTATTTCATTCATTCTTCATTACGGCTGCTTGCAAAATTGCTTTCAGTATACTGTTTTGACTTTTGCCAGAGTATTTCTTGAAATCATTATCGATGACAAACGATTTGCTGTAATCTGAATGACAATTCCTATGACAGCTGTGACCATCCTACATAATAAAGTACTGATGTTTCTTGTTGATTTAATAATTCTTGTATCAAGTAACAAGTCTTTGTTTCCTTTCTTTTTATTGCCATGAACTATTAATTAAATTGGGATTAATAAAAGAATGATTAAGTTTTTTTTCTTTTTTCCAATTTATGAATGACGTAAACGAAAAGCTACTAGTATTCATTAGATTGTTGAATTATTAAATAAAATTTTCCTTGTTGATTCCTCTGAGCTTTTATCATGAATTAAAATTTCTCTGAAGCATTTCTGCTACCACATTTACTCGAAAATCAGACCCTCTCGAATATTAGACCTTTCTTACATTTTAGAATGAATGTTAAGAAAGAGAAATGTAGGTAATTACCTGATGAGAGCCTGACTCTGATTAGAATTCACTTGATTCTGATTAGAATGAAGGCTAAGCTACCTAGTTAAATACATTATTTTACCGTGATGTAAAGAGAAAAATTAGGCAGTCTGCTCACTTACCTGTTGGTTTTCAGGCATATTAGTGACCAGTATAGTGGATGCAGACCTAAATTGAAATCGTTCAGTTAGAAGTGGATATTATTATAATTCGGGGGTAGTTATACAATATATTATATATATATATATATATAATATATATATATATATATATATATATATATATATATATATATATATATATATGATAACTACCTGTATTTAATGTAGCGTAATTATGCATGATAATATGACTATTCAACTTCTTCCTTTCATTCTGTAGCTTCGTTTATCAAAATACTCGTATTAAAAGATTTATAAGACCTCAAGTTATGAGACCTCACCAAATTTTACGAGCAAAAAAAAGAGTCTTATATTCTAGTAAATACGTTAAGTAGTGTTTTTTTAGATCAGATGAAGATTAGAAGGAAAATTTGGTGATGCTTATGAAAATCAGAATTCTGTAATATTCTTTCCTCTTAAATTTAAAGAAAAATAACTGTGGAAACACTGAAGACAGCTGCAATGTTAAAGAAATTTTTGAAATTTAATTATTGATCGCTTCTACAAATGTTATTTTAAGTGTGCTTGTATAGCTCCAGAAAATCTAATATTCGCCTTTTAACCTTTCCTTGCGAAAATACAGCTTTACTCTCTGCTTGTTGTTATTTTCTATTATCCTTCTCTTCTCCATCGTGGAGATTAGGAAAAGAGAGGAAAAAATCTTTCATCATTTCGTGAGCAGGGAGAGTAGAAAGACGCACTGCTGCTGTCACTATCTCTCCCCATGAGTCAGAGTGGATTCTTCTGTTCGTTACCATGGTTACAGCTCTGCGTGGCCAAAAGGGAGAGAAATGGCTGTCATTGCGTCTAACGAACCAAGGAGGCCAATGGCAGCCATTACTCGCGTTTCTGGCGCGTTCGAGTTCGTACGTCCGTACGCGTGTCATTATAATTTGGTTTGGTTAAAATGGCTGCAGCTGGCGAGATTAAATTGCACGGGCAAGAGTGTAATTGAAAAATTTCTTCTTGCCTGTAATCGATAATTTGCTTCTGGGTGTTAATTTTCATTTAGATTTTTTACTCTTTTTCTTTCTCCGCCCTATTATCATAGCGAGATTCATTTAATGTAATTCTTAATTCACCTAGAAAATGATGAATCAGTCCATAACACTGCAAACTGCGTAAATCAAAATTCAAATGGAGTTAGTTCTTTATAATTATAATCTTCAGTGATCTTAAATGATAATCAAGAATTTCATGCCATTAGACAGCATCGATAAAAAACTTCTAAAATATTTAGCAACAAATTTTATACGCGGAATTTTCTATTTTGACCACTTAATCTTTAACAATTGAGTAATAAAATTCAAATATGCAGAGAATTATATTCTGTGAATGAAAGTACTTTGTATGTTTTTTCCAGAAACTTCCAGAAATAGTAAGCATGAACAAAATGTAAATTTCGACAAATATTAATCATAAAATTAGACAAAGCAACAACCTTCTGTTTGGCGTTATTGATTTCGAGAGCAAACAGGAACAAGTCCCTCTTCATCAGGAGCAAAGATTTGCAGAAATTTCCTTGCTGTTTATGAAAAGAGACCTGTACTTGTTTGCCCTCGAAATCGATAGTCTTGACTAAAATCTGCTATTTCATGTTTTACTTCATTTCCTTTCTTCCTTTAAATATTAATCAATTTTTTAAATGTAATTCTTTAAGGACATTTATATTGGATAATTATATTGTCAGTATAATCTTCATTTTAACTATGCAGATACTATGTATTACTGTATAAGTTATTTGTATTATTCTAAATTTTTTCCCTTTGTAATAATTTTTACAAATTTCCACTATAATTTTTGCAATTGATTGTGTAATTGTTTTAACTCTAGAAGAAACTACAGTATGACTTTTAATTTCTCGGGTCACTGTTTTAACTCTAGAAAGCTACAGTATGACTTCTAATTTCTCGGGGCCACATAATGCTAGCTAATTGTACTCATCTGTTGTAAAGCACGCAGGCTGGCTGGTTGCCAATTCACGCATATTTAATCAAATTAGCAGAGATGCTGCCATTCCTCACAGTATTAGACCCTTAATCTGTCAAATGTAACAATGCTTGGCTTGTCAGTGTAGCAAAAGCAAACTAAGCAGTTTAAAAACATTCTATAAGTACCTCAAAACAGTATTTTGATACTTCTTATGAAGAAAATTTTTATTAACAATTATATCATTTTTGTAATTAATAAAACGGGTTTCTAACGCCATGCGATGTATCTCTGGTTTGCAAGAAATTTTTATTTGCAGTTTACTTTTTAGCAAGATACTTTTATTTGCAGTTTATTGTGGTTTCTCTGGTACCAAACGGATTTTTTTAATGAGAAATGAAGGAAAAATAAATTATCGTTTCTTATTAAAAAGACTTATTGCTATTATTGTAACTCTGTTTAACACTA